AAAAGCCTTTATCAAGAATAGGCAGTGAAAAACTTAACATTTAAAGAGTAAGGCCCTGTCTCCTGCCTCCAAATCAGCTTTCTTCACTTAACAAATCATCTCTGACTCTAGGGACTAGAAAATAAAATGTCTGGATACTTTTAGGATTTGGAAGGCATAGTGCAGCTCCACAGGGTTGCTCTGAGAGCTGTGTGCACTCCTCACTCAGGGCCTGGCAGGAGGCGCATTCAGTGGGAGCCATCACTTGTATTATCTACATCAGTCTAAACTCCAGTGTCTCACCTACTTGCATCATCTCTGAAAAACTTTCAAGTCTGGCATCCAGAAATCCAAGGAGAAATTATGAACAGCAAATTCTCCCCTCCCCTGAATTTAGAGATTGTTCTCTGGAGGAGGAAACAACAACAAATAAAAAGCAAACACCCCACAAAACAACAACAAAAGCTCCGGCAGTGGAGTGTGTAATAAAATGTGGCACTGGAAAACAGTAAGGTAGTGAATGTAATTTTGAAAAAATCACGGTGGGAAAAATAAGGAAATAATTATTCTCTGGCAGACAGGCAGCCTTGTGTGAATTTACTGATATTTTAAGGAAACTCAGTATTTCATCTAGGTGAGCCCACAGGGGCTGTTTGCCAACTATATGGGACACCCAAGGGCTGGTTAGCACTGTATGTGGACGCAAGATTTCACATGTGGTTGTATCAGGATGCTGGTGAGCAATGCTGGCAAAAGGCACGGACAGAGGTATTTACAGTATTTTGTGGCCTACACTTTACAAAGTTTCAGCTGACCACAACTCAGTGGCAAAACGGTAAAAAAAAAAAATTAAAATCCTTTTAATCCAAAAGCTATTAAATGCTAATGTCAATGTGAATAACTAGGTTCATGCTTTGCTCTGATACCACCAATCTAAATTCGAGGTGACACATTTACTGCTTTTGAAACACATACACGTGCACAGAAACCTAAAGTACATCTGTCCTCACAGGCCAGTGCTCACACACACGCCCTCAGCGAGCACTGCCAACACATTCAATGGCAGCAAGGTGACGAACAAGGAAATCCAGAGAGAATTCTGCTTTGGACGACAGTAACTGCTACTGCACTTCACTGATTTCCCTCCTTTCTTATCCACCCCCTTCTTCCTTCTGAAGTTTAGAGCGAACTTCTACGAACAAAAATCTCGTGAAAAATAATTTATCTCAAACCCATCATTTTTTTTGTTGCACTTCTTCTTTCTTCTTTTTTTTCTCTTTACACTCTTCCTGAACAGTATAAGAAGTTCAGTTTCTTTTTCATCCAAGAATATCTGTAACTATTATTAGTCTTAAAAACACAGATATCAAACATATTGTGAAAATATTTGTTGCACTGTTACTAAACAGAGGTCAGACAAAGGAATCATTACACTCACATCTACAGAAGTCGGGCACAATATGGGCTCATGTCCTCAGGGCCTGGATCTGCCTTCCCAGCAATCTACCCAGAACAAGATGGGCCACGATCACGGGCCAGCAAGGGAGACTATTTGATATAAATCTGACTCTGCCACCTGCTAGCCAGGACACAGGACCCTGCCTGTCCAGATTCTCTCTGTCTCTAAAATAGGATCAGAGAACCTAACTGAAAGGTCGGCTGTGAGGATTAAATGAGATGATAAACATGTGAAATACTCTGAATATCACTTAATAGAAACTGACCATTGCCATCCAGGTAAATGGCAAACTAGTGTTGGAAAACTGTTTCCCTCAAATAGGAAGAAGAGAAATAAAATGGTTCCTGAAAAGAAATCTAGGAAATATTTTTCTCTTGTTTCTATAATCACAATTCTCTATTCTACAGCCATATTTTAAATTGCATATTTGCAAGGCATCACATTGCAATAAAATCCAAGAGTGGCCTCCAAGCCCTGAGTGGTCTACCCTCTGCCTTCTCTTCTGTGTTTCATCCAACACACCCATCTATATTGGCCTTCATGTGCAGTGCACATGCTTCTCTCTGTTCTTTCAACAGCAAAGCTCAATCTCTCCTGAGTGTATCAAAAAACAATTACAACAAAAACCAAGAAAATAGGCACACATAAAAATTTACTCAACTTTTAAGAACCTTGAGATGTATGTCTTTTATATTGAAGTGTACTAGAAGGTACTAACAAGGTAAACAAAACTGATTATTAAATGGTAAGAGTTATAAAACAGCCCAGAAAAGTAAGCTATCCATGAGGGAAGAAAAGAAGAGTTGAAATCCACAAACTAAAGGTGTTAAAAAAATTTTTTTCTTAAAGCCAGAAACATGTGCTAGAGATACTCACTGAAATATTTGATATTAATATGCAACGTCTTACAAAACTAGACAAGCACTTACTATAACACCCAGCAACTGCACCCTTGATCATTTATACCAGAAAATTAAACACCTATGTTCACTCAAAATCTTGTTCACAGCACCTTTATTTGTAAGGTCTAAATGTCCCTCCACAGGTGCACAAAGTGTGGTACATCCATATCACAGAGTAAGAGGAACTAACTGCTGATATACACACAAACTTGGATAAATCTCAAGGGAATGGTGTTGAGTGAGAAGAAGTCAATTCCCCAAAGGTTACATACCATATTATTTCATTTATGGAACATTTCTGAGATGACAATGGTGAACACACTGGTGGTTGCGAGGCTTTAGGTGGGAAGAGGTGGCTAAAAGGGAGTCCGCGGGATCCTGATGATGAGTGTCCTGTATCTTGACTGTGGTAATGGGCACATGAATCTACCCAGGTGATAAAATTACATAAACAAAACACACACACACGAGTGCATATAAGCTGGTAAAACCTGAATAAGGTTGGTGAATTGTATCTGGATCAATTCCTGGTTGTGCCAGCGTACTAGACATAGGAAAAACGTCAGCCTTGGTGGAAAGAGGTGAGGGGCACAAGAAGCCACTGTGTTATTTCTTAGAATGGCATTAGTTTAATGTGAATCTACAATTATCTCCAAATGAAAAGTTTTTTTTTAAAAGGCAGAAAGGGCTTCCCTGGTGGCGCAGTGATTGGGAGTCCGCCTGTCGATGTGGGGGACGTGGGTTCGTGCCCCGGTCCGGGAAGATCCCACATGCCGCAGAACAGCTGGACCCGTGAGCCATGGCCGCTGAGCCTGTGCGTCCCGGAACCTGTGCTCCGCTACGGGGGAGGCCGCGGCAGTGGGAGGCCCGCGTACCGCAATAAAAAAAAAAAAAAAAGGCAGAAAGATGTGTTGAAGACATCTACTCAAATATTTCAAGTTAGTAAGCAGGCTCCACGTCCCTCTCAACTGTGGAATAATTAGATAATGCTCCTCAAATATAAGAAACTTGGGAAGAAAGGCCTCAGGCTAAATTATTACAATTACAGATTAATTTTGTAAACCATAATTTCTCATATCTGAGGGATATAAAGGTAGACTCAGTGAGATATACTATACTTAATATTCAGAACAAAGACCAAGATGTGGTTCATAAATTACTACTAACTCCTAGACTTCTCAAACCCATCAGAAGAAGGAAAAATCAAGCCCGACACAGTGCCCTGGTCATTCAAAATTAACCAAAGCTCAATAACGCTCTTGAGTCTGAAGAGGAGAAGACGGGATTCTGACTGCGGTACTGTGCAAACCCAAAGGTACACCCACACCCTAAGGGGGAGGAGAAGCTGCTGCTCTCGGTTGCTTCTGAACTTCCAGATCTGGCAGCAGTGAAACCAACCTCAGAATGACAGTGCTTCTGTGTTTCCACAGTCTACCAAGTCCCAGGGCCATCCTGGAGCTGCACATCCTTCCCATGCAGTTTGATGTATTATTAGCACAGTTCATAAGGCAAGGGTCTACAGTTATACGCATTTTTGACAGGGATATTAAGAGGATTAGAGAGTTTAATTACAGAGATATTTTAACAAATCCATCGCTGAATTTCAGCTGTTTACTAAATTTTAGTTCTTGGGATTGGGGAGACAGGGAGTTACCTCTACTTAATATTTTCGAGTTTTTCTCTCATTTATTCAGTTGCTATACACATACAGAAATGAGAAAAAACTTTTCTTATGTTAAAAGAAGAAACTTCTTCTGCCAGGCCACACAGGAAACAAAACATCAAATAGTGAAATGTTCCTCCTAATATATGTTTATAATGAGTTATATCAAAAGTAAAGAAAAAGACACAACTTATTACAAGACATCAAGGGGAGGATTCACAGATCTGAAAAATAAATTCATCTAGGAGACAAACAAAACCCAAGTTCCTAAATATAGAGACTTCTAACAGAAAAATCTATTAGAGATGGTCACATTCATATTTTCAAATTCACGGATTAATTTTTGGCTCTGGTTTTTTGTTTTATTTTGTTTTTGTCTTTTATTCATGGTATAATTAAATATCACGAATACCCTCTATTCCCAAATTAAAGAAGAGAAAACATAAGGAACATTCCAAATAAGCTATTTGGTGCCAATGAGCCAAACAAAAGGTCATCTTTTCCCCTCGGTCCAGGCACCCAGGCACACTAGTTTGTCTTGGTATTTTTCTAGTCCAGCCTCCAGAAGACACTCTCTCAGCTCTGTGCTTGACAATTTGGTTCATTCACTGTAATGTTGCAACTCATTAGAAGGGTTCTGCACCAATTTAGTGAGCCTAGGATTTTGGTACAATCACTGAGTTTGGTGTTGTTTATTAAATGTTTGTTTCAGGGGTGTGTGTGTGTGTGTGTGTGTGTGTGAGTGATATGTGTGAATGTCGTGTGTGTATTGGGAGATGCTGTAAGATGTACTGTTTACTGTGGGTCACAGCCACAAAAGTCTGAAAGCTACTGGGACAGAGCAAGAAAAAGGTATAGTACAGAACCCTCCCACTCAGATCTTTGGACACCTAGAGAAAAAGGTGTAAAAATAGTGATGATCAACTTCATATATTTTAATGTAAAAATACTTTTAACTGGCATTTTCTTTACTCACAGATGCCAGTGCAAGCCTTACCTGAAAGTGTCCTTTGGTAAGAAAGATACTGATGTCTCCACAAAGAAACGGCAGATCTCTCTCGATTCTGCAGTCCATTTAGTCTTTCTGCTAGCCCGCCTCTGTTCAACAAATTATAATGTATTAAGCTTAGTTAAAAGAAAAGCTTCAGAATAGTTGGTACATTTATATTTTATACCCTCCAATCAGGCACAAATAAAGCATTCAAAGTTTAACTTGTTTGGCAATACATTCTCTTCCTAGAGGCCAAATCCTTCTAGGTTAGTAATCTCCTTTTTAAAGATTTCTCGGAAGATCAGTTTTCTGATTCTTAGAAATACGGGCTCCTCTGAGATCAGTATGACTTCCGGACTATCCTTTCTTAGTTTACTTATTCCATATATATGTCCTGATTACGTGTTTCCTACTCTACCTAGCCAAGCACCAGGTGCCAAGGGTACAAAGAAGGCAATAAGCCATGTCACGGTGGGCCTTACAATCTGATCAGCAGACGGGCAAACAGATAATTGTAAAATGGGTTCAGAGTTGTAGTCAAGAATAAAACCTGTACACTGTTGATAGGTAGAACACTCAAATAAGGATTTGGGTATGGGCTCATTACTTGGCCTACAGAGATAATTGAGTATTAATCATAAACATACAGCAAGGATACCAACATTATACAAAGAAGAAAACTTCCATGCATGACAGGAAGACAATTCATAACAATGGACATACAGGCACTTCACAAGAGCCCTGACCTATCAATGACTAGACAGATAGATAGATAGGTAGGTAGATAAATTATAAATTCATATAAACACACATTTTTTTAAATTCGTAAACTACCTATACTCAGAAGTCAGCAGCTCCTAACACATCTGTGATCTTAAGAGAAATCAAGATCAGCTGTTAATCACCATTATGACTACATGTTATATAATTTATCAATGTATTATCTCATAAAATTATGTTCACTGATCATTTCACTACATTATCTCATTTTATTCTAATAATATCCCTTTGAGGTAGAAAGAACAGACATCAATACCCACCTCATACATTATAAAATCAGAGCTTAGAGAGAGGTTAAGAAAATTCTCCAATATCGTATAACTAGCCAGATGAGGAAACATTCTTAAAAACAGAAAGAACTGAGCACAGTGTATGGCATTTAGTAAATCTTCAAAAAATGTTCGTCACTGGTGTTACTGATTCTGTTAGATTTTTACTTGCACCCTATGCTCTTTCCACAATGATTGAAGGATCTTACTTTAAAACATATTATATATATTGTCACTACCAACTACTTTGTTTTCCTATAGGTAGCTGTTTTTCTACAGGCAGTAATTATTTCTGAATACGTGTGTGTGCAAGCAGTATATATAACAGCAATTTTTAAAAAATTATCATAATCACATAAATGCCAAAGAATCTCTACTTTATATATATGCAAGCCCTTCTTATCATTCTGTTTACATGAAGTAACTCATTTATACACCCCCTCTAAACAACACCACAAAAGGAGGTACTACTGTCATCTTTATTTTACAGATGATGAACAGAGACACTGAGTGCGCAGCACTGCAGGTGAGACATCTGCTGAGGGCACAGCTGGATGCATGCCACGCAGTCTGGCCCCAGAGATCACAAGCTTAGACTCATGATGTACCTACTGCCTCTTCAAGAATACTTACTACTTAATTCCCCAAAGTCTTAATTGCTTTATTTTGGTGTTGTGTTAAATTGAATAGACAGAGATGTTTCCCTTTGTTTTATACCATATAAGACTCTGTATAGTATGTTTGTGAAAGACTGAACTAGAATAATGAAAGTTTGTTTGCAAAAAAAAAAGAATACTTACTACTTAAAGAACTAATCCTAACCCTGAACGAACTTTTTGGCCAACCCATTATAATAAACACAAGAAAAAAAGCAACACACTGTGTTCTTTGAACTATGGTTTAGATAATTATTTGCCAAATGTTGGTTTTCAATCTTACGAGATTTCTTTAGAGAGAAGAAAAAAAAGGACAAAATACAATCTGAAAGAAGTATATAGTTAATGCCAAGCCCTAGAATCTCACAAGTAAACTGCAGGAATTACAGGATGAAAGATAGAGAGCAAGAGTAAAAATGAAGGCAGAAGCGTTCTCCACAGGCGGGAGCATCTGAAACCGTAATAGAGAATCTGCATTTCCACCTTGGTTTTAGTCATAGGGTCACAGGATACCTCTGCTCCAAGAACCTGCAGGGAATTCTGAGCTGGTGCACCAGACTTAGGAATGGAAACACCATGACCTCTAGTCAACAATCATAATTCTAGTAAAAAACCTCTCGTACATTAAAAAAAAAAAAAAGGTTCAAGAAGGCTCTGCTACAATACATACAAATTAACTCTTTTTTTGTTTTCTTTTTCTTTTCAATTTTATTGAGATATATTTGACAAATAAATCTGTAAGCATTTACAGCGTACACTGTGGACACTGGATACATGCGTGCATGTTAAAGGACCCCCCCCATTTACTCAATTGACAGATCCACCTCCTCACATATTTATCTTTTTATTTTTCATGTAAACATTTAAATTCTACTCTCAGCAAATTTCAGTTGTACAGGTAGTGTTCTGAATAAACATCACCCCATGTGTACATTAGACCCTCCTAACTTATTCACTCTATGACTACAAGTTTGCACCCCTTTTGTATGAAAATATTCCCAGAAGTGGGATTGCTGGATAGTATGGCAGATCTATTTTTAATTTTCTTAGGACCTCTGTACTGCTTTCCATAGTAGCTGCAGCATTTTACACTCCCACCAACAGCACACGAGGGTTCCCTTTTCTCTACATCCTGGTCAACACTTGTCATCTCTTGTCTTTTTAATGATACCCATTCTGACAGACGTGAGGTGGTATCTCAATGAGTTTTGACTTGCATTTCCGTGATTATTACTGATGTTGAACACCTTTTCACATACCTGTCACTTGGTCACTTGGATGTCTTCTTCGGAAAAATGTCTATTCAGTTCTTCTGCTCATTTTTAAAATCAGACTTTGATATTTTTGCTATTGAGTTGTGTGAGTTCATTATGTATTTTGGATATTAACCTCATCAGATATGATTTGCAGATAGTTTCTTCCATTCTATAGGCTGCCTTTTTCATTTTGGTGACGGTTTCCTTTGCTGTGCAGAAGCCTTTTAGTTTGATGTAGTTCCATTTGTTTATTTTTGCTTTTGTTGCCTTTGCTTTTGGTGTTAAATCCCCAAAATTCATCACCAGGACCAAGGTGAAGGAGAGTACCACCCATGTTTTCATCTAAGATTTTTATGTTTTCAGGTCGTCCATTAAAGTCTAATATATTTTGAGTTGTTTTTGTGTGTGGTGTAAGATAGGGGTCCAGTTTCATTCTTTTGCATGTGGCTGTACAATTTTCCCAACACTATTTATCGAAGAGACTATCATCTACCCATAGTATATTTGCGCCTCCATTGTTGTAAGTTAATTGACTATATACGCACAGGTTTATTTCTGGACTCTCTATTATGTTCCATTGAAATATGTGTGTTTTATACCAATACCATACTCTTTCGATTACTACTGCTTTGTAATATAGTTTGAAATTAGGAAGTGTGGTGCCTCTAGCTTTGTTCTTCTTTCTCAAGATTGCTTTGGCTATTTGGGGTCTTTGTGGATCCACATATATTTCAGGATTGTTTGTTCTATATCTGTGAAAAATGCCACTGGAATTTTGATAGGGGTTGCATTCAATCTGTAGATGGCTTTGGGTAATATGGACATTTTAACCATATTAATTCTTTCAATCCATAAGCACAGAATATCTTTCCATTTACTTTTGTCTTCCTCAATTTTTTTCAGCAATGTCTTATAATTTTAAGTGTAGAGGTTTTTTTTACCTTTATTCCCAGGTATTTTAGTACTTTTTGATGCAACTGTAAACAGGATTGTTTTCTTAATTTCTACTTTGGATAGGTTTGTGGTTAGCATATAGAAATGCATCTGATTTTTGTATACAGAGATATTGGGGATTCAGTTCCAGACCACCACAATAAATTTAATATCACAATAAAGCAAATCACACGAGCTTTTTGGTTTCCCTGTACACTCTACTAAGTGTACAACTATGTCTTAAAAAATGTACATACCTTAATTTTAAAATAATGCTATTAGAAAAATGGCATAGAAACACAGGGTTGCCACAAACCTTCAATTTGTAAAACAAACAAACAAAAATGCACAGTATTTGCAAAGTGCAATGAAGCAAAGCATAATAAAATGAAGTATGCCTATACTGATTTTTGTATCCTTTGCTGAATTCATTTATTACTTCTAACGGTTTTTTGGTGAGTCTTTAGGTTTTCCTGTATAATGTCATGTCATCTGTGAACAAGTTTTAATTCTGATATCTGGATGCCTTTTATTTCTCTTTCTCGCCTAATTACTCTGGCTTGGATTTTCAGTACTATGTTAAATAAAAGTGACGCGAGTGGCATCCTTGTTGTTCCTGATATTACAGGAAAAGTGTTGACCTTTTCACTGTTGAGTAAGGTATCAGCTGTGGGCTTGCGCTCTGTGGCCTTTATTATGTTGTGGTACATTCCCTTAACACCCAGTTGAAATTTTTTTCATGAGTGGATGCGGATATTTGTCAAAGCATTTTCTGCATCTATTGAAATGACCATATGATTTTTTTTCTCCATTTTGTTAATATGATGTATCGTGTTGACTGATTTGTGGAAGGTGAACAATCCTTGCATCCCTAGAATCAATCCCAATTGATCATGGTATATAATCCTTTTAATATATTGTTGAACTTGGTTTGCCAACACTTTATTGAGGATTTTTGTGCCCATGTTCTTTAAGGATATTGGTCTGTAATTTTCTTTTCTTGAAGTGTCCTCATCTGGTTTTGGTATCAGGGTAATACTGGACATGTAAAATGAGTTTGGAGCTGTTGAGTTTGGAGGTGTTCTCTCCTCTTCTATTTTTTGAAAGAGTTTGAGAAATACTGGCATTAATTCATCATTGAAAATGAAACAGAATTAAATAGTGAAACCGTCTGTTCCAAGACTTTTCTTTGCTGTGAGGTTTTTGATTACTG